TTTTTTTTTTTTTTTTTTTTATAAGGACAATGGTAAGAGGTTACTATGTTAGAAGTGTTAGTGGGAAGTACTAAATCCAGAACTTTAGAGTGCAAACCATGGGTTGTCCTTTGGAGTAGTAAGTGATCACTGAGTCACGACACGTTAAATGCAATAAGAGAATTTTAGTTTGATATGCATTTTCATTTTTATATAATCCTAATATCACATATAAAAAAAAAAGTGTATGGAAAAGGAAGTGTTGTGTTAAATTTTTATTTAAAAGTTAAATATTTAAATTTATATAAAATAAAATTAATTACAAAAATATGACACCAATGAATTTTTGTATTATTTTCTATTATATATGCTTTAATATTAATTATAATTATAATGAGGTGGCATTAATAAAACACAAAAAAAAAAAATTCTACTACGATTTTACAGGACCTAAATTTCCAGTGAGTTTTAAGTCTAAAAATAAATCAATAAATAAATAAAACTACACGTGTTCCTTGCTTAAGGCCTCAACCATTAAATTGACCGATGTACGTAACTTCGGTTAACAGTCCAATAGTTTAGCAGATTGATTGTCTGTGTCAAGGGTAAAAAGGTAATTTCAAAACCCTATCTGCTCAATACACGCAACCCCAGACCCCTATTATATATACAATAGCCGTAGGGGTGGGCAAAAATTGGTTTCGGTTAAAACCGAAATCGGTTTTAAAATAATCAAAAATTTTTTTAATTATGAGAACCAAAATCGAGCCAAAATGTTTACAACCAAACGATTTGGTTACTAATAAAATTGGTTTGGTTTTGATTTTTACTAAATAAATATTAATTAATTATTTCTCTAATAATATATTATATTTTATCTCATATTTTATCATATTCTGTTATATTTATCGTAATTTTGGTTTTCAGAAGCTTATTTTTGATTTTTAATTTTTGAAAAATTCAACCAAAATCGAACCAAAAATTATTTGGTTAATATTAAAATCGAAAACAGTTGAAATTGAACCGAATTCCTTTTTTGGTTCGATTTTTGAGTAATCATTGGTTCGATTTCTAAATGCCCAGCCTTAGTAGGGTGAGCAAAAACCGGTTTGATTAAAACCAAAGTTGGTTTTAAAATAACCAAAATTTTTTTCTTTAATTTTGAGAACCAAAATTGAACCAAAATTTTTACAAACCAATTAATTTAATTACCAATAAAATCGGTTTGGTTTTAATTTTTACTAAATAAATATTAATTAATTATTTTTTTAATAATAAATTATATTTTATCTCATATTTTATTATATTTTGTAATATTTATCATAATTTCGGTTTTGAAAGGCTTATTTTTGGTTTTTAATTTTTGAAAAGTTCAATTGAAACCGAATAAAAAATTATTTGGTTAACATCAAAACCAAAACAGTAAAAATCAAAAACAATTGAAACCGAATCAACTTCATTTTTCGGTTCGATTTCCGAATAACCGTCGGTTCGATTTCCAAATGCCCAGCCCTAATAGTCAATAGGGTATATTAGCAATCTAGATCTAGCAGCCTGGTTTCTCTAACCACTATCTTAAGTAGCCTGCAACTGCAACAGATCTTACGTTTTTGATAGCAACCCCCATCTCTCAAGCGCAGAGCTTTCTCCTCCAGCCAAAACCCGCTGTTTGACGTACATGATTTACTGGCAAAATCTAATGGTAAACCCGATGATTGAGAGAAGCCTAAGGAAGCTTCGAGTTTGACTGATCCAAGCGAGAGAAGAGATGATAGGACGCATCCATCAAGAGTCATTCCAGGCCTAATTCAGCGGGTGATGGCGTGGAAGTGATGGTGCGAATGAATTCCTTCTGCTGTTCTGCATCATGGTCGTGCCTTTGGCCTTCAGATCTGCATCTTTGGGCGGACGAATCCACCGTGGTACAGTATTGGTATTGGTGGAGTCTTTCCGCCTTTAGATCTATATCGCACGCACTCATCCCTCCCTAGATCTACGTTCCGAGCCAGCCAACCATCCACAAACTGAGTGCTGTGGACGCTGTGGCGCAGGCTCAAGCCTTGGCCGCTCTGCTTGGTTTTCAACGAACATGTTTTGAAAAGCAGCAAACAAGGTTACCACCTATCATTATTTCTTATTTACAAAGTTTCCATTTTTTCAATTTTTGATGGCTATTATTTGTTATTTTCTTTAGATCTATCAAGGAAAAGTGAAAGAAAGCATCCGGGTGGAGCAGGAAGAAACAGAACGGTTCTGTTGCCAGTGATTGTGCCTATGAAACAAACCTTTACAGGGGGCTACAGGGAAACTTGTGAGATTTCTGCTATATTTTTAATTTTATTTTTTTTTCTTCTTTTCAAACTTTTAGTATGCATTAAAAAAATGATAATGATAGAACCAGTGTTGCAGAAGGCCCGAACCTCGTGCTTACATTCTATTTTTATTTAATGTTAAAAAAAAAATCCAAAATAATGTTAAAAAAATTCCAATTTAAAACCAGAAAAGCAAAACTAGATAGATGGATAGATAGAAGTATCGGATTTAAGATTAATGAAATTTTAAAAACATAAAGAACACATCCTAATTTAGTAACAGTGATAAAATAGTTAAGAGTGAATCTTTCAATCAAAATGGAGTGACACTGAACAATGATATTAGTAGCAGAAAGCAGCTATTATAAAAAATTTTTGGTTAAATTATGCATGAGATCACCAACCGTGCAACATAAAGGGTTCAAGAATACATCAGTTCTTTTCTTTCATAACAAAATTTAACCCATAATTTAACCACTTGATTTAATAACCCAAAAAGATTATACTTACTGATCTCAACGAAGTTTACTTTCTTCTAAATTATACATGGAGCAAAACAAACATATCAAGTGTTCAACTGACTTTCATAGAAAACTAAGTTAGTGTGGCGATAAAGAAGAAAAAAATCAAAAATCCCAATGAAAATCAAATAACTAAACAATAAACTTTTAGAATTCAACCAATACAAAGAACATGTTGTAGAGAAATGAAAATAAAAGGACACTTTGTAACTTAATTAAACATAGCAAAGAATCCTATGAACAATGAGAATCCCTTGATGTTGCTGCATCCCCCAAACTCCTTTAGAAAAACACTAACAACTATATAAAGATTCAAGTTCCTAGCTTTCCTTCCATCTCTTAAACTCCAAAACCTTAAAAACCAATTAAACATACTGAAGAATCAAATGA